GCAAAATTTCCATTTCTCTATATGGAAAGAGTATCAACCTGAGGTTTAAATATGTACATGTTTAATTTCCTGCTGCATATGTTCTCTGAAATAATGTCATATGAAACAGTTCTTATCTAACTGAAATAATGTTTATCAATCAAAACAAGCTTTAATATGAGTTAGAGGGATGAAATTACTTTCTGTAGCTCTTATAAGTAAAGTCCTTATTTCCAGGGTCACTTTTTATATATAAGTAAGATAGAAGAGACAGCCTCAGAAAATAGCTGGAGATAACAAGTTATGGAGTTTCGTGTGATAGCCATAAACCCAAGTTTTTTTAACTTTATTTTTTTCTAATATTTCCCAGATGACTGATGTCTGGAATGCTGGAGACTTAGCTTAAGAGTATAGCTCCTATTAATTCCAGTCAGTGGTCAGTTAATTAAGTTGATTAAAGTATCCATTGAAAGCAAAGTCAAAGATCTGAATGATTCCATATATTCAGGTTTGTTGCTATTTGTTCAATTACTATAACCCAAAATAGTTAACCCTGGACATGTAAGCAATGCATATTCTTTGTAGTTGAGACAGTGTGTGGCTGCAACCAAGCATGACTGTGCCTTGAGAAGCAACTTACAGTGCCAGTTTCTTGACTTTTTTGTAGACAAAGGATCATCCATTATTAACTTCCTTTGCATCTTTCATTCTCCCTACCATCATACCAGTTAAAAAGTAGATTAGGGAATTGACTAGAACTCAATTCCATGCTTCTGTCGTCAAACTTCTATTATCTGAGACAGTAAACTTAAATTTGTTGAGTTTCAATTTTCCTTTAAAATAAAAAAAAAATAGTAACACATGTTAGAAGGTTGTTGTAAAGATACAAACTTTCAGTTATAAAATATGTCACAGTGGTATAATGTACAGCATGGTGACTATAGTTAATAATACTGTATTGCATACTTGAAAGTTGCTAAGAGAGTAAATCTTAACGTCCTCATCACAAGAAAAAAAATTTAAATATGTATGGGAACAGATGTTAATCAGACTTATTGTGCATTCTGCAATACATACAACTACTACATCATTATGTTGTATACCTGAAGCTAATATAATGTATATGTCAATTATACCTCAAAAAGATTACTATGAACATTAAGTGAGATGATGCATACAATATTCATAGCACACTGCCTGACAAAAGATGGGCAATCAGTAACTATTCAGTGAATAAAGGTTTTCATCCAAGTATAAAGGGAAATCCTACAGAGAAACAAATGATGTTAGGTATGAAATCAAGATGAATTTGTCGTATAAAGCTGCCCTTTCAAGAGGCAGTCTGGTTCTATTCAAACCACAAGAAAAAAAAGGAAAAAATTCCTAGAGCAATGCTTCTCAGATTTTATATGCTTATGAATCACCTGAGAATTTTTTTAAATGCAAGTTATGACTCAGTGGGTAGGATCTGAGATGCTGCATTTCTCGCAACCTCCAGGTGGAGCATATGCTTGCTGCCTGCTCACTGGTTACACGTTAGCAAAGTCCTAGAGCATTTGAACGTATGGCAGTTTAAGAAATACTCTACTTGCCTTTGCCGGGTAGCTCACTTGGTTAGAGCATCATCCGATACACCAAGATTGCGGGTTCGATCTCTGTACCAATGAATGAGTAAATAAGTGGAACAACAAATCCATCAATGTTTCTTTCTCTCCTCTCCCTCCCTCCCTTCATCTCGCTCCCTAAAAATCAACCCATAAAAAAAATACTGTACTTAAATTCATATTTGTCTCTACTCCAACATTCTGTTTCCTGAAAGAACAGCTTAACATTAATTAATTCATTTATTCACTTAGCAGAAGATTGTTTAATGTCTACTACTTGCCACGTTCTAAATATAAAATAATGAACGAGACAGAAAAGGATTATGCTCTCATTGGGCTTTTAATATAATGGTAGTATCAGACAATAAACATTTAAGCAACTAAATAGAACAGCAGTGGTTAAAACTATAAGGAAAATGAAATGAAATTACTGTGAGATTGTGAATGGTCAATTAAGGCTCCTCTAGGAAGGAGACAATTGAACTGAAACCTGAATGTGGAGAAGCCCTCTGCTGTGTATGAAGATCTGAAATTTTCATACGAAGTGAGGAGTGAATGCCAAGGCTCTGAGGCAATGTGAGATTAGTTTGTAGGAGGATAGGGGAAAAGCTACTATGGCTAGACAATGGTGGGAGCATTCAGAGTGACAAGATCACACCTGGCAAAGTTGGGGGAGTGCAGTAAGGGCTGGAATCTAAGGAAATCTTAAAGGTTGAGTCCAAGGTGGGTCTGAACAGCTCCACAGAGAGTAAAGGTATATTCTAGAAGGAATGTGCCTACAGGAAATACACCTGACCAAGCAGAACGAGATATGTGAAAAAGAACTAACATAAGGGACGGGATACTGGTTGAAAGAAACAAAAATGTATCACTTACACCAAATTAATCTAATAGCACACATGTAGCACACTCTCAATTGCTACAGAATAAATTCTTCTGTGTAGAAATGATTAAGTAACTATTAGAGAAGACATAAAACTGTAATTCCAGGTTGACTATAAACTGTAGCCCAACCTTGTCTTACTTTCCACAGGACGTTGGAAATTGAAGTGAAAGGAAGTAGCTGGAACAATAAAGGTTAGCAAGGAAGGACATAAGACATATATGCAAGCCCCTCCTTGCACTAAGAACAAAAGTCTAGTAGGAAAAATACTCATCATTATTCGGTCAATTGCAAAATATTAAATGCCTTGTATTATGAATTTTGTACTCTACCTATATTCCTATAAATCCACAATATATCATATTGTTTTATTGGAATACAAGCCAAACCCTAAAGCCAATAAAAACAGAATTAAAAGAGATCCCACAGATCAGATTAAATAAAGAAGAATGAATTATATTATGACAACTCTATCATTTTAGTGAGTCTCACTAGTGAATATGCCTAATAATTTAAGGCTTGCAAACTAGTGGTTATAGATACATAAGTGCATTTCGATTGACATCTAATTTTCTGTCTTGTTTTTCAAGTATATGAATAAAGGGTTACATGTTAAATGGATGCCCCTAACCTTCCATCAGTGAGAAGCAGCTTTGAGTTGTTTTTCTAATAGCGATGAAGGGTGGCATAGTCAGTCACCCTTTATCACCTGAGCGACTACTGCTCTGGGCACACATTTCTGATATTCATCCACAATTATGGTTATATTCTGTGGCAAAATACCAGATTAATTTTTGCTTGTTTGTATATTATTTCACTTTGTTCTATTGACCTCATTAGCACCCTACATTAACCAGCTAAGCCACCGAGTTGAGACTTTTTCCACTCTCTATTCTGATTATTTATTTGTAATTCTTTCAGTTATCTTTGGCATCTATTAACAGCAATAGTATTTTCTTTCTCATTGACCTGTTGTATGTCTCTTTGTATTCATTCAACAAATACTAAATGAATTTCAAGGGCAAAGGAGGAAGTAGAGTGAGATGAAGCTAGAAAGAGACACACAGCCAGGTCATTTGAGGTACTGTAAACTTTTAAAAAATCTGGTCTCTATCTTAACAGCAATAGGAAGCCGCTGGAGATTTTTAAGCGCATAAGGGACACCATCATACATCTGCCATTTCCTTACTTTGTCATTTTTCCCCCTCCCACAATGGGACCTTCTTAAACAGTGGTTTTATAATGCTATCCTATCATTTACATTTCCTGGCTATTTCCAACCAATGAATTAATTTTTTAATGAAAGAAAAAGATTGCCAAGGTACATTAATTAAAT